TATAACCCCACCCCATCATATATTTTCCATCAAATGAGGCAGTAAAATGTTTTTCGAGACCCTGTATTCTAGAAAATATTTGAATACGACACTTATACTATTTTCAAACCACAAAAACCTCCAGGTTAAGAACTTTCCAGAGAATAAAACTTGAATTCGAAGAATTTTTGGGATCATCTTGACTTTCATAGTTTGAGTAGAAGGGGTAAAATCTCAACTTGAACCTTAGCTCAAATGAATGTTCTTAGTCTTCATCTCGATATCGTTAACTTTAAAATACGGATTACAATGTTGTTTCCGGTAGACGGGTATGACAATCGGTTTCACAGTTCCTGTTTCTAGTCGAAATGAAAACCTCAACACCTAATTTCTTTCTGAAAAGTTTGAAATAAATATGGAATAGATATACAATCAAACATTAGATTGTTCCTTACATTTTTTCTAACATCAAAATCTGTTCTGTTTAAAGTGCATTTCGTTATTGAAACTAAACTATTTCTTGAGACGAGAGAAAAAGAGGAAAAACACAAACCAGTCAAGGTTTCAATGCACGGACATACATATTCTAAAAGGTGAACATTAATGAATAACACACATGACAAGTCTATGGATAAACGAAATGAAATCTTTTACCGATTTGTGCAGGATGTAGTCCTTTGATTGCTTAATGTGAAATTTATGAGATTTTTAAATATGGAAAAAATGGTTAATTAGCTGCATTTACTGAGAAGCGATTTCATAACTATCTCATAACAACATGGCCACTAAAACTATATCGTGTACCGCGAAATTCTGTTAAAAGTGCGGCATCATTCAGTTACGCATAAGTGGGATCTAGGATTAAGAAATTAACGTTAACTTGTGCAACCAAAACAGGTATCTATTTATGCCTATTGAGTTCCCAAATCTATAATGTGGTTTAGCTTCATCGTATTGTATATATTTTCATGCATTATCACATTTCGTCATTATGGTTTCGTAGACGCGAAAAAATCCTAAATACCACCTCCCTCACCAACCCTCCCCCCCAAAAAACAAAACAAACCCAACACACAAAAATTGCAATTACTCGCGATTTATATTTGAGTTCCTTGCTGAGCTAGGTAGTAATGTACTCGGAGAGGAAAAAATCTCGACTTTTGCAGGTGCATGATGGTATACGGACAATTTTCCAAATACCTTTAGCCAAAATAGACCTTAGACTACGCTCAGAAGGGTATATGTCTTCGAAACTGCAAAGTTCCTGTATGTGAGTACTACACAATTAAAAATAAGTTGAGATTTCTCCGTTTCTAGCAAACGAACCGACGAGTCTTCTCTCTGAAGAAAACAGCTAACGTCTTTGCATACAGAAAGGAATCGTATATTGTTAATACATAAATAAATATCGGATCAGCTTTATTCCAAGAAAAATTGAGATTAGGAAGATGGCTAGAGGGCGACGAGGATAAATTTTGCAGCACTGGCAAACCCTTAACGGCAAATTAAATTAATTAAATAAATTGATTCTAGTAGGAAGAACGTACTAATTGTTTTGGGAATAGACTAGACGAAAATTCGACGATTGCTGTATCAAGCTTGCCTTTTTCTTTAGTTTTTTTTTTAAAAAAAAAATCTACATTTTAAAGTACAGAGGAATGAATACAAACATGTCAGACCACTTCAATCAAAAGCACGGTTTTCATTGTTACCCATGGTTTTACCGAGCTGCAAGAATAAAGAAAAATGCACCGAAGTTTTCAGGCTTTAAATTATACAAGTACGTATTTAAATTTGAAGCCTTTTATTTCCTTTACCGTTCGTTTCCTACTTTGACATTTTCGTTTTGGAATACCAGTTTAGAATCCTCATGAAAAATAATTCTTTCACTGTCTTACTGTTTAAATGACACATAAATCACATTCTCAAAACCCATATCTTTTATCAGGACGTTCCGAATTTCATCTGGCCACCCAGGTACCAACATTTCATTGCTTGTATTTATAATATCTATATATTTCCTGCTGATTTCCTCACAACCACAAATACACATTTCCGTTTCCTACAGTGCAACAGTGCGTACAACAGCCATCTATGCTCTTGTAATTCGGTACGGGCGACAGACTTCTTGTTTGAACAAGGAAGTCGAGCATGTATTGTCATCACGACAATACCCTTGAGGAATCAGCAGCCATTGGCTCTAACAGGTCACATGATATGTCATTTGGTTCTTCTCACTTTGGGCTAAATATAGATATGTTTTTTTATAAGTCTATAAATTTGTCTAGATCAGTAACGTTTCCTGTTAACTTGTCGACTATCAAGCTAAAACCTTTTAATTTACAAGTTGATACTACTTTTCACTACTACTTTTCACAGCATTCCTGCATTTTCCAGTCATCCATGAAGTGCCTGAAAACATAGATCAATGATGATCCGTGAAATACCCATCGATGATGTGACTTAAAACACCCAACCAAAACCAATATTCACGTTTATAGGGTCTAACTCTATGATAACTGTTCAATAGACATTTGGAGTGATGGTGGTGGTGGTGCAAACCAGGTCTTTGGTATTAAAGTTTGTGGGGTTTTGTTA